GAGGTGGAACACCTGGAGAGCTGGTGCAGAGAGAATAACCTTCACATCAATGTGAAGAAGACAAAGGAGATGATTGTGGACTTCAGAAGGAACAAAAACATCTACACCCCCCTGAACATAAGAGGATCTGCGGTGGAAGTGGTCTCCAGCTACAAGTACTTGGGTGTACACATGAATGACAACCTCAGCTGGAGCAACAACACCACCAGCCTGATCAAGAAAGCTCATCAGAGACTCTACTTCCTCAGACGGCTGAGGCGAGCTGGTCTGGGAAGCTCAGTCCTCACCTCCTTCTACAGGTGTGCAGTGGAGAGCATCCTGTGCTCGAGCATCAATGTGTGGCATGGAGGCTGCACAGCTGCAGAAAGAAAAGCTTTGCAGAGAGTGGTGAAGGCTGCACAGAAATCTGTTGGAGTCAGTCTCCCCACCATCACAGACATCTACACCTCCAGATGCAGGAAGAGGGCCACCTGCATCATGAAGGACCCCACCCACCCAGCACACACACTTTTTGCCCCACTCCCCTCAGGAAGGAGGTTAAGGAGCATTAAGTGTAGAACCACTAGACTGAGGAACAGCTTCTACCCTGAGGCTGTTAGACTCATGAATCTCTAACTAGAATAATCACTGTGAAAAACCATATCATGTTGCTGCTGATCTGTTTCATGTTGCTGCTGATCTGTTTCAATGTTGATGTGTTCATGCGTGCACATCTGCTCACAGACTCATGTTCATGTTTGTGCTGATGTTCAATGTTTTATGTTATGAGTGCTTAGTGTATATTTAGTTGATGTTTTTCTTAGTTCATATCTTAGATGTTATTACTGTTTTTCTTATACATTTTATTGTTGGATGTAACTGGGACCCTGTGTACATAATTTCGCTCCACCACATGTACCACATGAGGTGCGAATGACAATAAAGAAACTCTGACTCTGACTGACTCTGATTGCTAACAGTCCTAACATACAATAGCTTTGATGTGAATGCTTTCATTTATGCTTGCGTTCAATTTGCATCCATCTTTCTAAGCACTGTATACTATTTTTATGACGAAACGAGATGAACAATAAACCAAATAAAGTCAATTTCTTTTGCTTTTTTTGGCAATACGATTAATAATTTCAACAATTTGCAAAGCAAATAGCTTACAGGACCTGTAAGGTGCATCACCAGCTGATGTGACACCAAACTGCTCAGTGGTTTCACCACTGGTGACTGTTGTGCGTTCTGAATGGTTAATTATTTGCAGGTTCAACTCTCAGTCATTTGAATGGCCATGCATGCCAATAGTGTCCATATTTCTGTGTCAATGTAATATCTAGTTAACAACATGAAATAAAGTTATAAAACTTACAATTTTCTCTTCTTGTCCTGGTGGGTTCCTGAGGAAGATGCAAAGAGGGGCAAAGAAAATATCCACTATTCCAATGATGGTCATCAGCCAGGGGAAGCCAATGCTCTCAGCTATGGATCCTCCGATGGATGGACCTGTCACAGGAAATAACAACAATCTGGTGCATTTGCCTGGCAACAAAATCCAAATCCTACATTACTGGTCAGGTATTCACCTGAGGGCACACTGCACTTCCACAGGATGGTAGATAGACACATTCATGTAGAAGCAACAGTTTTATATTTTACATCATTTAAAGACTAAACGAGTTAAATAAGAGTTATTTAAAAGAAATATTCCGTCATACTGTTGCCATAAAATAATAAATTAGCATAGACTGTTTAGTACAGTTAAACTTGTTCATTCTGTTAAATGTTTATAGTTGAATCTTAAAAATACTGCATTATTTTTTCTTTTGCATGAATTGACAAAGTTGCAACAAGTCTCATGTTAGAAGATGCATTACTGTATTACTACAAAAATACTCTGTAGTGTTCAAGCCAAGTGGTGAAGAAGGAAGAAACAAAGACGGTCCTTGGTCTTTTTAAAATAAGCAGTACTCCAAGTATTTTATTGTGTTTATCCACAATGGTGCTTCTGTTTGGTCTTCCTGAGGCCTGCGCTACAAAGGATTGATGTCTTTTGGAGATACCAACAGGCTCAGTTCAGGATTTTAAGTAACACAAAGTGAGTTACTTTCTTAGTTAGTCACTATGGTAACTGATACTTATCCGGAGCAGGTTAAGGGATTGTGCATGTCAACACATTGTCTTTCAACCAATCAATCAACACTATCAAAAAATAAAAAAGGAAAAAAGCCGCTATTGTGGAGCAGTGGAAATGTCTTTTGCCTGCCTCTCAGGTAAACAGTTACAGTATGTTTGACTTTGAGTATGGTCTTCATGAAAGAGACCTCATCAGGACCATTACTTAGGAAAAACAAATGATAACTTCAAAGTTTGTCCCTACAGATCAGATTTTAGACTAGGAACTTATTAACTATAAAAGCCTTCCTTGATTAATCTTAAAACATGAGACAACAGACAACAGGAGAGGGCAGGCGCAGAGCATATGTACCCACTCACTATACTGCTTCATTTGTGCCTCTATGTTAATATGCAATTCCACAGCAACCTTGTGAAATTTTTAAAAATCTGATTAAAATCACAAGTTAATGCCTAATGTTACATTATTGAAAGTGAAATAGCAAAAACATGAATTTGTTTAAAATAAGCTCACTCACTGGACTGGAGTGGTTTTAAAATATATTTTCCTTATTTAATGCAATTTAATAAAAATCAGAATAGCCATTTGAAAGTATAAGACATTGTCCATACTCTGGGATATTTTTTTTAAAATGTTGATGTTCTGCTGTGTTTCCACCACCTGTCCACACACAAATTGAGTTTTTGGTGAGGAAATTATATATAAAAAAATAACAATAACAAAAGAAAATGTGCAAAGTGGGAATTTTTGAAAATAAAATTTTTGGTGGCCTTGTGAACTAGAAATATAGAGCTTTTCAGAAATGACAATACAACAACCTATTTTATCTATGCCTACTACCACTTTGTGTCCTAGGTCAAACCATTATGGAGCCTTTTGATTTTTTTTTCTACAGCTTTCTCACTTTATCCAGATCCTGTCACAATTAATCCTTAATCATTATCCAACAGTTAATGAGAAAAATGAAAAGAAATTATATATTAAGTGTAAAAAAAAAGGTTTGGGAGAATTATTAGCAAAGCTAAAACGTTGGTTATGTATTGTAACCCCAGATTCTATGAGTATAGGCGTAGCCCTTTAAGGCCCTTGCTAGTGGGTTTTATCCCGTCACGCAAAGCGTAGCACTGAAAACTTTAGTCCACGCCCACCTGTCGTGTGGGCCCCACCCGGTCCGTATAAATTACGTTGAGAGTGGGTAATCGGCTCCCAAATAGCCTTTTCTTCAGCCATTTAGGAGCCAGTGAGGCCCAGAGTTTAAAGGGCTATGCCTATACTCATCGAATCTGGGGTTACAATACGTAACCAACGTTCTATTTCGTATAGGCTTCGCCCCTTAAGGCTGTCGCTAGTGGGTTAAATGGCGAAGCAGGATGTAGTCTATGCCTCACTGGGTCCGTTCAGACACCATATGAAGCGCCTGCTTGCACCAAAAAACATTTCATCACTCAGCGCTCCATGTACGCGCTGCGTAATTATGCGCACCATGCATAGACGCGCGCTGCGTAATTTACGCGTTCCGTGTACATGGGCGCCCCGGAGAGAAAAGTTTGACGGGGAAAAGGGGAGAGGCTGAAAACATTGAACAGAGCAAATCAACAGCTCTTCAATATGAACAGGTTAATAATAAATGAACTGATTAGTAATCAAATGAACTGATTGGTAACAGTAGTCATGAACTGCTTAGTAACATTAGAACAAGATCAACAGTCACAAACTTGTGACTGATAATAAATATCTCACACTGTAATTGCATGCAGTTGTAGTATGTCAGGACAGCTTTGCTGTAGACACACGACTAAGTAATTATTCTTAAAGCTAGTTCAAGCACAAAGAATATTAATTGTTTAATTACAACGGATTCTTTCTTTTTCGAGTTAAATTTCTGCCATGTGACCAAGATAACTGTGAGTGGATTGTTTAATCAGTGACATGAGACGCCATTTTATCTTTGACCCATCAGAATAAATGTGGTAATTTATTTAACAGAATCAAAATTTAACATCAAAACATGTACACATTGATTTGCTGATCTGTTTCTGATTAATAAAAACTTGGCACGCTTTATTAACATGACAACAGAACATTACTGATCGAGGCTGATTCGCCTCTGAAGGCATCTAGATTACTGGCAAATAGAAACGTTAAAGAGGAGAAATAGAAGTGTTTAAAGATTTAAAGAGGTTTAGATGGAAGCTATGTGTGAAACCAGAACTTTGCACCCTTCCTCCGACACCCACTCAGCTTTCCGGTACACTTCAGGACGTGCAGCGACTTTGTTACCTTAGCAGAGGATGCATCCACTCCGAAACAGAAGTCCATTAGTACGATCCCTTTACAGCGTCTCCGGTTAAAGTAGCTGGGAATCTTTAGAATAAATGCATATACTCAGTTCCACTGAATAAGCTTCCTTAGAAGTGGCGCATTTACTGCTCGGGTTGAGTGCACAGCGATGCGAGCCGTGACTCAGCTAAAGGGAGGGACCCCTTGGCACACAGTCCCATCCGTCCGCTCCAAGTTCTGAAGACTTAGGCCTAAGACTTAAGACTCCCACTGAGTTCAAGCACTGAACTCCAGGACTGCACTTCAGGACTGAACTGAGTTCCAGGACTCCAGGACCGAAGTCCAGGATCGAACTCTAGGATCGAACTGAATAGTTCCACGAAGTGTTCCTTTTAAAGGGGTATACACTTCCTGTTACATGGTACTTCCTGATTGGTTGAAACAACCAGCAGGGGGGTGGTTCTAGTGATGTCAAGAGGGTCACTAGGAGTCAAGAGACAGCAGGAATGTTTACGAATGGTTAGTACAGACGGAGAAATGTTATGACGAAGTGAGACAAACGCAGGTGCCAGTTGAAGATATTTACTGTCTGCTAGTTTTAAAAACAAGACACTTCGTTCCAATAACTTGTCTCTGTTTGTCTCTGACTTTTGACCGACATCACTACTCCTCATTCAGACAGATAACTAAAAATGCACACTTACTTCGTAAATAGACATTTAAACTGTATGATCAAAAATCTGCTGAGGTTTAAAAATCATTAATACTGTTTCACAGTTGATTTAAATGAGTGGTTCACTTCAACATTTAGAAATGGTATGAACTAAACACACATTTGATTATCAAGATATTCTAAAATAGTAATGATAATGTAAAAAAGAACAGTGTTCTTTCAATTGATTAATTCAGGATACAATTAAATAGTCTCTTGATGAGATAATTTGTATTTCTGTATTCAAATCAATGAAATAACAGTTCCTGTCCCCTGAAGGTCTTCAAAGACAGGTTGAGGTTGGAGGCCTAGTTCACTACAAAGTCAGATGTAAGTTTAAATAAAATTCCATGAAAACAAGATTCATTCTGTTAAGGCGCTGAGAACAGAATGCACCATGGAATGTGCCGACACATCACGCAGATAGAAGCGAATAAATGAGTAGGGCGATGACCACGCGGCCGCAGTGCAAATATCCTACATTGTCATACCATTATGCAAAGCTGTCGAAGATGCGATTCCTCTGGTCGAGTGCGCCTTGAGGTTTTCAGTGGGCTCTAAACCTGATGCTCTGTAAGCTTCAGAAATGGTCTCACACAGCAAACGGGCTACCTGCAGAGGCGTCTCTATAATGCACAAACAAATGTTGAGTCTGACGCAGTGTGGCCGTGCGTGCTAAGTAACATGCCAATGCACGCACAGGGCAGAGGAGGTGAAAAGATGCTTCTTCTTCTGATTTGTGGGGAGGGGGGAGAAACCCCTCCAACGTTATCATTCTCGATTTAAATGAGCTTGTGATGTTTTTAGGCATGAACGCTGGGTTAGGTCTCAGATCAGCTGAGCTGCCATCAGCTTGAATCCTGAGGCATGACGGAGCAACAGAAAGGGCAGATAAATCACTCACTCTCTTCGCAGACGTCAAAGACAACAGTAGGGCTGTTTTAAGTGACAAGAATTTAATCAAAACCTGATCTAACGGCACGAAAGGAGCTTTGATTAGGGCTTGCAGAACCATTGTTAAGTCCCACTGTGGAGCTAGTGGACATGACACCGGTCTATGCCTCCATACACAATTTAGAAAACGCTTCATCAGCAGGTGATTAAAAACTGTTCTGTCACCGAAGCCTTTGTGACAGGAAGAGATGGCTGCAGCATACGTTTTAATTGTGCTGAACGCCAAATTTCTGTCCATCAGCTGCTGCAGAAAGGACAGCACGTCACCTAGTGGACATGAGATGGCCTCTACACCTTTCTCCGTACACTAGCATTAAAAAGCTGTCCACTTTCATGTGTACAGCGCTGTGGTGGAGGCAGAACGTGAATCCTGGATTGTGTACACTACTTCTTGAGCGAGACCCATCTTCTCTAAGCGGATCC